AGATCGCCGAGCTGAGGCAGATTCACAGATTGAGCCGACGAGCCACAGTCAGCCCCACACCCGTACCGCGCCATTAGATGTTTTAAATCGAAATAATTTTAAAAAAAACAACGTAATTGTATAATAGGTTCTTAAATAAAACATTTTTTAAACATGTTCTCAGTCGTCGTTTCAGACGGTCTACAGCCTTCCATAAAAACACCCATAAATACATAAATGCTAAATTGAGCTAGATTTTCCAGATATTTTTTTTAAAACTAAGAACACTGTTATTGTTGAAAGTTTTTGATAAACCGATGTTTATTAAAGTCATAGCTGTCATATAATTTAACTAAAACATTTGGTTGTACTAAGTTTATGCCAAACTTCAAATAGATAAGCTTTAATCCCACCAAAATATATCGAGAAAAAAATCATGGTTTCAGTTAATTAAATATTATCTTAATAATTCTTCTTAATTTTATGCAAGGATTTTGTATATATTTTCACATCTACTAAAATAATAAATTAAATGTCTGACAAAACCTTTAATGAAACTTGCACTTGTAAGTGGTATTTATAATTTATAGTTTATGTTTGGTACCTTTAAACTTAAGCTTTAAGAAGGATTACCTTAAAAAATAATACAATATAATAATATGTCTTATAAAAAAAAAAATTGATAATAGTTTGGAAAATGACATTTAACATGTAACGTTTAACAATTTACAGTGAATATTATTAAGATAAAATTAATAGTATATTAATTAAAAACCGTTGAATTTAATTTCATGAGTTATATTAACATTTTTATTATTTTTGTTTCAGTCAAATTTACTGTAATGGATCATTACTGCATAATGTTCAAATTCTTAAAGTATTCCATGATTCTAAGACGTTTGTAGATATGAAAATGAAATTTTCACCTACAACAATAGATGGCAAATTCAAAGAGAAGATGCAGATAGATTGGAAATATAAACCGACCAATGATAGTATGACGGAGTTCGTCAATGAAAATTTTGATAAAGAAGGTTCTGAATTTGATAAATGGATTCCAACTGATTGGGTCAGTGAACCAAAAGTTTTTAACAGTATTAAGGATGTACAATTAAAAAATTGGGCAAAAAATATAAGTAAAATATGGCTAGATCTTGGTAGAAAGATTAAAGATGACGTACGCTCACGTCCAGAGTACTATTCAATTATTTATCTTCCTAATCCTTTTATAATACCTGGTGGTAGATTCCGGGAAGTTTATTATTGGGATTCATACTGGATTATTAGAGGGCTATTAATATGCGAAATGCATATTACCGCAAGAGGTATGATATCCAATTATATATCTATGATACAAACGTTTGGACATGTACCGAACGGTGGTCGAATTTATTATGGTCAAAGATCTCAACCCCCTATGACTATACCTATGGTAAAAAGTTATGTAGAAGCCTCAAATGATATGGAATTTGTAATTGAAATTATTCAATATTTGGAAGTGGAATTCAACTATTGGATTACTCAGCACAATGTAACAATTAATATAAATGGAAGCAATTACACGCTTGCAGTGTACAAGGATAATTCAACAGGACCACGACCAGAATCCTACAGGTAAATTCAGTTTTGTATTTCATAGAAGTTATCTCAAATTTAAAATATGGGCTTATAAATATTAATTGATGTTACTGATTATTTCTTATTGAACACTAGCATGGGTGGAATTAATAATTCACGTATTTGCCTACGAATCATACATATTTACTTTGGGTTATTACTGTTATTAGTATATATCTACATTTCAATTTTTTATAATTTCAAAATATGTTTTGTTTTATAACAGGGAAGATATTAAGGCAGCAGAAAACTTTACAACTGAAAATGACAAAGAAAATTTTTATTCAGAGATCAAGGCGGCAGCTGAGTCTGGTTGGGACTTTTCCAGTCGTTGGTTCATCCTTAACGGAACGAATAAAGGTAAATAACTTACTAGTTTTTGTATATATTATATATGTTTCTAAAGACCAAATATATATTTATTTTATACTGATGTAAATATGTAATATAATAATAATTACAATTTAGTCAAATAACTTAATTTTGATACAATTTCTAATAATATATAATTCGATTTCGTACATAATAATATGTATCTAATATTCTAATGTATTCATAATATTAATAAGGTAGTGTTCTTGTAATCATTACACACACACACACATATTACTCGGAAGGATTAAAATTAAAATGTACACATAGAAAAAATTATTAAAAAATTATATAGCAATAAAAATCGGAAAAAAATGGAAATTTATAAAATATATTTCTGTATATCAGCTAATAGTAGAACTAGGTACTATAAGTTGTATAGGCATCAGTAATAATTATATTATTTTAGCTGAGCCCTTCTTAAATTATTGGAGAAATAGTTCACTGAATAGTTAATTTGTCAACTACTGGCCCTAAATGCAATAAAAGCCTTGCTGCTATGCTTTCTATTATATATGCCCTAGTCATTATTACATTTTTAGTTAAATTAATTTTAATTAAGTTAATTGTTTTTAACCCACCATTTTTAACTTAACTAAGTTATAAAAAAATATTAGTTATTTTTTAGCTCAACTTTACATAAATCTTCTTAGATTAACTTAACGAATTAAAAAAAAATCGTTAACTCACCCTACCTTGCACAGGCGTTATACCCTAGGTATGCCTTCACAAAATAGTCAAGACGTCTTTATACACTCTCTATGCGATAATACGTTATACGGTATAGAATAGGGTAGGGACTACATTTATTATATTAATACAATAAATCTCGTTATGTTGAAACTCAAGGGAAACAGATAGAAGTTCGAGATATTGAGTCTTTCACGACTACACGTCTCCGACTTACAAGTACGTAACATAGCAAATATACTCTCAGCAGATTACGTTTAGCTCCGTTAGTTTAAAATTTAGAGTGTACTGATCTATTATTAAACTTGACGGTAAGAATATTATCTGTGTTTGTGTGTGGTTTGTTACTATAGTTAATTTTTTTTGCAATTTACGTGTATATAAGGTAGCGTAAATTATAAATGATCATAACTCACTTAAAAACTGAATATATATATATATTTATATAATTAATAAAACCAGCGTTATCTGCTGAACGTGTATTCGAAATGTTACGCACTTGTAAGATGGATTCAACAAATATCTGTATATCTGTGTAGTGCCTTTTTAATGTAGTTACCCAATGTTAATATTACTTTAATGGGATTTCAATTGAGATCGAGATGAATTAGAGATATCGATGTTCTCCCAGGTAATAAGAATCAACTGCAGTGTATAGGTACGTAATATATGGGTACCTACTGAAACAAAACAAAACCCAATTCGCATTCGATACATTTTTCAAAATTATATTATAAGACAGAGTTTCACTTTTTCTAACATAATATTAAGTACTTATTAAAACGTAATTAATCTTAACTCACATCAACATATAATTATTTATTATAACCTTTATGGTAGTTTACTCTTTAAAACAAAATATATAATAACATTTTTATAATATTAAAATCAGTAAACAGTTTCCAAATAAAATATTCAATAAATAACCATTTTTGTGGCCATAAGCGCAACTAGGAAGGCTGGTGGGGGCTTATTTCTTATTTTTTTTTTAGGTATATTGATAAATTTGATAAATATGGTAAATATCATAATATGTATGCTTGTATTAATGAAACAATTTATTTCGGTATGATATAAACTATTTTGTATTTGGTAAGATTATTACACATCATTTTACAGTATACCTATGCACTGAACTATAACATAGAGATAGGCAATAGCGGAATAAAAATCCCTGACCCTAGGAAAAATAACTCCCAGACTACAATATTACTGACAACCACATGGCATTTTTAAAACGTAATTAGTGTAATTATTACATGATTAATATTTAATTACAAAATACTTTACATTAAAAAAATTTATATTTAATAAATAATTTTTAAAAATTAACAAAAATATTGTTTTCTTTTATATCACGATGTGAAACAACATAATGTTAATGATTCTTTTAAAAGATTATTGATTATAGGTACCTATATATTCATTAACCATTTGTTTAATAATTATTTATTTTATTTGAAGTATCGATCATTCGAAATATTATTATTTTATAACCTTTTAAATATTGTATCCACCTATATTAAGTTCGAGTGTTATAGGTTATTGTTACAATTATAAATATTACCAGTTTTAATTAAAAAAATCTACTTTCTTCTCTTTTTGGTCACGATTTAAAATAGTTTCATTTAGTATATATTTAATGTACATAATCTGAAGTTTTTATTCGAATTAGAGTAGGGTCTATACTTTTATCTTTACTCTAAACACTCTATAAAGTAAATTTTTCCAATCCATTATTACTGCACGTGTTTCATGAGGCATACCTCAAGACCGACCGAACGATCCATTTTCATGATGCATTACGACGTTAGGTACCTATCGTATCCTACATACAGTCCATGTCATTGATTATGTGTACCTAAAATGTATCATCGCGTTAATTCTACTCAATTGATACGCATTAAATTTTTATATTATTTCTAAAACATGTCCACAACGATTAATATGAAGAATATTGGTTTTATTCTATTTTTATCTTTCATAAGCATTATTAAAACTTGGTCCCGAGTTTGACGTATACGACAGTATACGACGTCTCAATGAATAAAATATAATTAGGTACTTCATTTCTGATCAAGATTTAATATATGATTTTCATATTCCCCAAATTTTTTGGAAAATGATTTCATTTTGTTACCTATTATTTTTATTTAATTTACATTAAAAAAATTAATATTTGAACTCAATGGTGTATTAAATATGTAAATATATTTATCGTGTGTATCATAATAAAATGGGTAAGGGGGTGAGATAAAGTTTATCGGATAATAGGTATTGTCTTAGTTCTATTAGGTTATGATGTGATCAAAAACGTTGCGTACAATAAATTATGTCATTGTATGATTGCAGGAAACATTACACATACAAAAACTAGATCTATCGTCCCGGTAGAGTTGAACGCATTAATCTTTTGGAATGCGAAGATATTGGGTGAGTTCTACCGGGAATTGAATAATACCATCAAAGCTTTGGAGTATGAAGTCATTGCTACGGAATGGAAGGATGCTGTAAATGCAGTATTATGGAACGAGGAAGTGGGTGCCTGGTTGGATTTTGATTTGCTCAATCAAAAAAAACGAAACTATTTTTACCCAACTAATATATCACCCTTATGGACGGGGTGTTACGACAAAAATCGAACAGATTATTTTGTGACAAGGATATTAAAGTATTTAAAAGAAAATGAAGTATTGACGACTCCTGGGGGAGTACCAACGACTCTCATGAAAACTGATGAGCAGTGGGACCAACCTAATGCATGGCCCCCACTGCAATACATGATGGTGAAGTCGTTGCAGAACACGGACAATGAAGATGCAAAAGTAATGGCGGCAAAAATAGCTTCAAAATGGCTATGTACGAACTTCGTGGCCTACTATGGAGACAAACAGTACAAGATGTATGAAAAGGTAAGTCCGATTTGATGATATAACTAAATAAAACAATTTATCGGGTGGAAAGGGGATACTGTGCAGTGTAAACAATATTATTTTAATTCATTATAAATATAGGTACATATTTTCATTGAGCCGTATTTGACTATCAATTTATGTTTATAATTCACAACGATGATAACTATCATAGGGGTATAATTATTTGAGACAAATGCTAAAAGATGATAAAAAAAATGTGTGCACAAACTATCGATTGGTCTGCAGGACAGTTATTAATATAGTTTAGGTGGTTTAACTGATAGACAAGTTTCACGTGAATTGTAGACTGCAGGGCCAAAAAATACATCTGATTTCAGGATACACACCGCACACTGATTAATTTCACTGTTACTTTAGAGCTTTGACAGTTTTCTATAGCAAAAAAAAACCTTTGGTGGTTGTAACACATGAACCCCCCCCCCCGCACTTTTATATACCAATTACCATGTAAGTTAGCTAATGATTTAATTTTGATAATAATGATTATTTTAAATCACTAAATGCAGTAAAAGCCTATGGGTGTTTTTATTTAAATATTTTTGTATGTTATCATCATCAAATAGAATATAATTTATGTAACGAAATAGTTTATAAGAATATTCAAGGTTTTTAAAAAACAATTTTGATTATGGTTGGAAAATAATATTGGATTCGTTAAATAAACTGTTATAATATGTATATATTATATTTATATTATTATGTATGTAGATCTTTTTAGTTACATTTATTATAATACAAAATAACTATATAATTCTTTAACATCCTATTTATGATTATAATAATCGGTTTGAACTTTTTCGGTTTTTTTTAAATATCTTAACATTTTTTAGACTTAAAATAAACAAAAATAGATATTTATAATATGCGCTAGCACCTATATCTTATTATATAATATTGTATTTCAATATACACAACTTAGAATAATTTAAATATCTTATGTACCTATACCTGCATGTTACGTTATTTTATAATAAAGCAGGTACCTAATTACCTACCTTGAATTTATCCATTATATAATTTCTTCTTTTTAGATTCTGAGTGGAACGATGAATGTATTGATTTTACAATGATGTGTGTTTTTTTTTTCATTTTTTTTTTTTTTTGTGTCTGAGTACACGATAAGTAGTCGAAATAATGCTTCGATGTTCGACTTCAGTATCTTGTTCGATTGGAAAGTGAATATCGTTGGTGCATTGGGGAGTTCAAATTTTAAAATTCCCAGTACTTTTCAAAAGCGCCAAGAAAAACAAAAGAAAAATTAAGGAAAAACAGGAATTTTTACACATAATTAATTTTTCAGAAAATTGAATTTGGTTTTTGGTGTAACTTTAAAACAAATGACCGTAGATACATGAAATTTTCACTGGTTGTTTATATTTGCATTTTCTATACACGATATCATTTTCAAAATATTTTGATTTATTTTGAACTGTTTAGGGACATTTTCATTTTTCATTTTTTTTTAGTTTTTTTTCTAGAAATATCCATAAAATTTTATTTGTTGGTTAAAAAATCTTGAAAATTTAATAGAAGGCACCTAGTATAATGTTTCAAAGAAAGATGAAAAATATTAAAAATCGTTAGTCACAGTTTTTTTTTATAAGCATTTAAAGTTCAAAAATTGACAAAATGTGGAAAAATCACGAAAATTAGCAAATTATTTTGAGTTAAGAATTCGTAAAAATTTTTCTTTTTAAATCTAAGATTTGAAAATCTAATACAAGATTACTCATAAGATTGTCTACCTTTATCAATAAAAAAATCTCTACCGGAAAGTCAAATTAAATTTTTATGAGCGTTTGAAATTCAAATTTTTACAAAATTGGATATTCACTTGATTTCTCATGTAGCGATTTTCTTATTTTGTTGTAATTCAAAAACGAATAAATATAGATACATGAAAATTTAACTGAATGTTCAGATTAACATTTTCTATACACTGTACAATTTTTAAAATATTTTGACTTTTTTTGAGTTTTTTACGGATATTTTCAGTTTTCAATTTTTTTAGTTTTTTTTTTCTATAAATATCAATAAAGTTTTATCTGTTTGGCCAAAAAGTGTAAAAATTTAATACAAGGATCCTGATATATTTTTACAGTAGCAGTTGAAAAATATTAAAAATTTTATAGCTAAAGATTGCAAATTTAAAACAAAGGTTCTCATAAATAGTTCATTCTGTAACCAAAAAATCTAAAAAATATATGAACACAGTTATTTTTTACAGACATTTTAAATTCAAATTTGGACGAAATTACATATTAAAATCAATATTAACGATCTTTGTTTTTGTTGTAATTTAAAAATATTATTCGTGGATATATGAAACTGAAAAATTAAAATATTATGGCCTATCCATACAATCTACCATAGTATAAGGAATAAGAATTATGCTCATGATAAGACTGTGCATATTTTAAAGAATTTATTCATAAATTCCATATAATTTAATACCATAGAAAAGTATATAATATGTCTTATACGTAGACTGACATACCGTCTCCGCTCAGAATCGTTTTTCTTATACAATGATATTATATAATTGCATTCAAATTTTATACCATCCATTATACAGTGACCCACTTGTAACCTACAGTACAGCAGAGCGACATCCACTTACCCACATTTTTTTTTATAACAAACTTGCCCATTGTATGGGAATAAAATAAGTAGGTAATTAACTTAAGCTAACTGAATAGGTAATTAATAAATTAAAATATTAAATTATTTATGTTAGTTATTCTACAAAACTAAAAACACGTTATAAAACTTGGGACACACATTTTTCATTCCGGTTACACACTTTGATTTTCTGGGGACACAGTATTTTAGCCCCTGGTAGACTGTATACATTTTTTTAATACTTGTTACATCTGCAGACTTATTTAAATAAATCATATTGTCGTTTGTTATCGTGTATACTAATTCGCCAAATGTTTTGACAGTACCTAGTGAATGGAGATGGCAAAAAAGGAGAAAGTTCAGGAGAATACGAAATCCAGGACGGATTTGGATGGACGAATGGGATCGTTCTCGAATTTTTACAATTATACAAATCTACAGCCTCAACAGAAGAATGGAAGATAACGGCAAATAGCTGTTATAAAGAATACAAGAAACTGATAATTTAAAAGAATAATAATAATAATAAAAGATATTATAGATAATAATTGATGTAAAAACAAATTAAATAATAATAATACATAATATGAAAAGTATAATGCATTTGATTACCTTGGCTTAAACTACAACCGGAAGAAAACTCTAAATTTGTATTTTTAATACAAGATGATAGTATTGTATCCATATTTTGTTGTAACTTACTAGTTACTTGTTGAACCTATATTATTATAAATATAGTACGCTTTGTTTGTTCTTACGCTACAGAAAAATAGTATAAATATGAAACCTGCAGTGACCTCTAGCTTATAAAATAGAGTGTAAAAATGTACTGCAATGAAAAAAGGCTAAAACCTCCCCCCAAAAAAAAAAAATCCTCACTCTATGCCTATGTTTATCGCTGTAATTTGAGAATGCGTAAATTATAAATTATAAATAATTTAATATATTAATATTATATTATATTATAAATATTATAAATATTATATTTATAATAAATAATTTGAACGCGGGCACACAATATATTATGGTAAATTAAATAATTAAAACAAAAACATTATAATATTTAGACGCTTATGTCTTATTTTTTTTATTGAACTTAGCCCGGCAACTATGGACATTAGATGTTTTTGTTGCTTTACAGTGGAGGGGAACAGTTGAAACACGTTTTTTTTTAAGTTTGGCAGAGTTTTTGACACCCGTAGGTTTCTGCCATGCCCGGTTGGGGATGGCGGCATCACTCTCCGGACACCGTGACTGCCCGAAGAAAAATGGCGCCAGTGGCCGGGTTCGCTCGTCCCCCTTACTTTATTATTTAGTGGCTCGTAGTTAATTATGTGACATTGTTACGTCGAACAATAAAATTATGAACACAAAATAATACCATTAAACGGTGTTGGTGTTATAGATATATTTCTTACTATCATTATAGTATTACGATCAATTTGATCGTCATTGATTATAAGCCATTTTCCAAGTAATAGTATTAATTGATTTTACTTATAATACAATTATGAAAATAAAATATGTTTGACTAGTCGATGCTGCTATACTATACGATTTCCGTTTCTTGGTAAAAAATAACCATTTATTTGATAGAATTAATAAATGAAAACAAATATCAAATATGGGGACACGTTTCTAGCTCAACTAAATGAAGGGGAACTCTGAAATCTATGAAAAAAATTAAAGCGGACTTCGTCAGCCTGTGTATAGCCCCAATTCGAGCACTGATTATCATGATGAAATTAAGAAAGCTGGTAAACACACAAATCATTGTGGCAATTATTAATGACCTAATATGTAAAAAATAAATAAAGCATTCATAATTATTAATTAATAAATTAATTGATAAAAATGGTATTTCGATTACAAACGGAAAAAATATTTGTGATGTATTTAACATTTTTTCTTACTAATGTTGGTAAAAAAAAAAAAATAGAAAACAATATCAAACAAAAATGTTATGAAGAAAAACCATGGGAGGATAATATATTTATAGGTAATCACCACATTAAAATATTGACAGTCACAATTCTAAGATTTGTTTATATCTTTAACTATATTAGACACTTATTTAGTCTTCAAATAAAACTTTTAGTATATTATGTGTCAGTTTGTACAATCAATCCTAAATATTATGGAATAATTACATCGGGCCAAGCATATGGCAATTATATATATTCATTACAAATAACCTTAAATAGCTTAATTACATTTTTGTTAAACAAATCAAAATATTCTAGTATTTACCTAAAGATTACGTATACCTGCTATAGTCAAGTAACTATAACGATATTACATTTTTTTAAAGCATCATAATGAAACCTTTATTATTTAATTTATTATTAGAGTATGTTATTAGTAGGGCTCGGATTTATAATATGTACTTATATAACCAAAGTATGTATTTACACAACAAAAATATGTGCTAAAGAATTCAAAATATGTATTATCAAAAAAAAAAAAATGATAAAATGCTATGGATTTTTCACAAGCAGTACAATACAAAATGTGACCGTCACTTTGTAAATATTCATTTGGATATTCAGAAACATATTTTATTGCTTTGCAAGTTTTAGACGATCGCACTATTTGCATTATTGGTAATATACACGTAAAATATAACGAATAACGAGGCAACGAAACACACACTACGATGTCACATTAAAAAGTACACACGTATCTCAGTGTTCGCTCGTTCGTGTTTAACCTATTTAAAAATGAGTTAATCGTAATATTAATATTTCAATTGATAAAATCGTATCTAGAAATAATTGAAAATATAACAGGTTGAGTGTAATGGTCGTTTGTAATCGAGGATCATCGACGTCAAAAATACGTCCGGTGGATCCCGCCGACCACACGATATCATACTAGTCGTGAACTATTAAGTATTGGCTAATGGCTTAGATACTCATGATAACCTTTCAATCTTTCTTAACTCTGAAAAAAGAGGTTAAAAGAGTAAAATTGTCTAAATATGTGAGAAAAAATTGAATAATTGTGAAATATGTAAAAACATGTATTTATGATAAAATATGTAAAAATATTATCAAATATAGTTTATTTTATCAAAAATATTGTGAAACGAATTTATCACTTGCCGAAATTAGTTTATCATGTCGCAGAGAAAATATGTATTTACATATAAATCTGAGCCCTAGTTATTAGGCCCTAGTTATCTGATCGTTGAAGAAATTGATTCGTTTACGTATTTAAAATCTGATACGAAATAAATATGAAGATGTGAAATGTAATTGCATAATATACAATATTATCTCAAAGGAACCCTTTTTTGATTAGGCATTTATATTGGTCAGTATTACATTACACTTTTTGCTAAACTGCTATTAAGATAATATAATAATATAATGTCTAAATTATAAACATCTGTGTATAAGTATTACAGTTGAACGTTTATATTTTATCCCTCAACATTAAGAGGATGTCAGCCCGGTCAGCGCACTATTTGTTTTTCTCTCTCTGGCCCACTCGCAACATAGACAAAATGCATTTACGCAGAATCATTTTTCCCATGTTTTTATTTAATCTTAGAGTAAAATCACCTAGGTATAATAATTACAAAAAGGTTATAGAATAATATTTTTGAGGGAATGATATATCGAATTGCCTAAATATTTTTTTGTTTGTTTTGAAAGCCAAATACACAGTCAAATAACAATAAAACATAAAATCGATATGTCATTCCCTCAAAAAAATTACTCTCTATCTTTTTTGTAGTGGGTTATTTTTCTCTAAGATTAGTTAAAAATAGGGATCAAAATTTCCAAAAAAAAAAAAAAGTTTCGAAAAAAACACTGGTTTTTCCCTTTGTTTTTCGAAAAAATTGGGAAAATTTAGTTTCATTTAAAATGTCTGGAAATAATGGTTTTTTATTCTAAAGAACTGAAAAGTAATCTATATTGGAAACAACCTAATAAATAATGATATTTGATTCAGGGGCGGACTGGGACGGGTCCGGCCCACTGTTCCAAGTTTATTAGCGGCCTTAGGTGTATTAGGCCAATTTTTTTTTACTCTAATTGTGCTGATGATCTATGAACTTATACACGACGTATAACAGAAACACCTGACAAATTAATTAGGTAGGTAACTTAATTTGTTCTAATCATTTAAATAATTATTTTAAATAATTTATATAGATTGTTGTAAGTACACTAAGTACAGTATAATATTTATACCACCAATATTAAAAAGGGGAGCAAGTGTATGTCACTCTGCTGTACAGTAGGTTACAAGTAGGTCACTGTAATGGATGGTATTAAATTTGATTTTAATGATATAATATCATTGTATATGGAGAAAACGGTTAATATAAAGTATTTGATGATACTATTGTGAATAAAGTACTTAGGTACCTAACCTAATTAATTTCATTATTAGGAATTATAGTATTTACTATAGTAGGTATTAAATTCATTGTTCCAGAAAAAATTACATTTGAAAATATCATTGCGTGTATATAAAAAATAACAATATACTCTAAAAGTTTCATATACCAACAAATAATATTTTTAAATTTCAATTCTTGGTTTTAATATGTCATTTAGTCCAAATTTGAATTTAAAATGTCAGTAAAAAATAATTGTTTCTTATAACTATATTCTTCAACTATATTTTATAGATTTTTTGGTTACAGTATGAACTATTTATGATAATCTTCATTTTACATTTTCAATCCATAGTTAGGAAAAATTAAAAACTGTACATTTTCTAATTTTTTAATTATGCAATGATTAATAATTTTTGAGATTTTGATAAATTTTGATAAATTCGAAGTTTAAATGATTATAAAAAAAAATTGTGCCTATGTGTGTATTTTTAATATTTTTAAACTGCTATTGTAACAATATATCAGGAGCCTTGTATTAAATTTTCACACTGATTAGCCCACCAAAATAAAATTTGATTGATATTTATAAAAAAAAAACTAAGCAAATTGAAATTTTAAATTGCTGGTAAACAGCTCAAAATGAGTCAAAATATTATTAAAATTGTTAAGGTGTATAGAAAATAAGAATACAAATATTCAGTGAAGTTTTCATGAATTTACAGTTATTCATTTTTCAATTACAACAAAATAAAGAAATCGATAGGTACATGAGAAATCGAGTTAATATCCAATGTTGAAAATATTTGAACTTCAATCGCTCATACAAATTTTATTTGACTTTCTGGTAGACATTTTTTTTGACAAAAGTAGACAAAATTATGTTGAATCTTGTATAACATTTTCAAATCTGAGTTTAAAAAATAAAAATTTTTATAAAATTTACTAAAATAATTTGTGAATTTTCGTCATTTTTACGTATTTTTTCAATATTTGAACTTTAAATGCTTAAAAAAAAAAAAATGTGACGACGATTTTTTAAAATTTTTCATCTTCCTTTGAAAAAATATATCAGGAGCCTTTTATTAAATTTTCAATAGTTTTTACCCAACAAATAACATTTTATTGATATTTATAAAAAAAAAAAATACTAAAAAA